ATCAACGGGTGAATCAGGTTTCGAACCTGATGTTGTCTATGATAAGCTGGAAGAGATCTTGACGAAATTTCCCACCATCTTGCCACCACACACGTACTCATCCCATTCCAGACAGTTCGTTGACAATACTAATGGTGGAAATCAAGGATCATCTACAGCTCCAGCTGAATCTTCGTCTGTACCTATTGCAGAACATGAACGTCCTGCTCCTCCTCATGAATCGCAACCACCTTCTTCTCGCAGAAGAGTGGAAACACCCCCTCCAGATCACGTCTCCAGTACTCCTCCTCCTCCTGTCAATCCTTCTACGACCTCACCACCCAATCCTTCTCCCGCCCCTCAACCTACCAATCCTTCTTCTGCGCCACCTCGTCGTCCAAGATCAAACGTAGGCTCTACACCATCTACCACGACCTCTGACACTGAAGCTATGCTTAATCGCATTGTTGATAGAGAGCACGAGCTTCGTAATGGAACATTTCGAGAGTTCAGAGAGTATATGGATTCACGATTAGGAAGAAGAGATCCTACGGGAGAAGCAATCATTGCTTCTTTAAACCGAGCTACAGCTGCTTTGGAACGAAACGGTGATAGATTAAACGAGTTGCATAATTGTATGCATCAACAAAGACCCAATCAATAAAGATATTCTTTTTTTTAATACATATGTTAAATTACATTTGGTACCTCTTTATTGTCTAGGTTGAAACCATCGGTTCAACTCATCTCTTCTTGTACGAACAGACTCTCGAGCTGTTTCGCCATTCCCCTCTTCATCTTCATCCATCTCGATTCCCTCGTCAATTTCAAAATCTGGATCCCCAATGTTGATACAGAAATTGTGTAAGATACAAGCCGCCGTAATGACTTGGCATATATCTTTAATCTTCTTCATGTAGACGTGTTTTTTTATGAACCTCCATCTAGCTGAGAGTATTCCAAAAGCCCTTTCGATGGTCATTCTTGCTGAAGAGTGGACCTTGTTGAATTTGCGTTTGGCAACGGCCTCGTCAGAATTGCCTGATACTTCACTCAAAGGATATGGAACGATTACATTACGACAGAGAGCATATGCAGAATCTAAAGAGGGTGTGTAAGTAAATTATATGTTAACTTTATAGTCAGTATATAAATAACCTGCAAGAATGTAACCGTCCAAAGGGAAAAATGTTGCTGGCTGTCGTAAAAACTGGGTGTACACTACAGTCCACTTGAAAGCACCTGCATCGTGGGTGCGACCTATAAATACATATCAGTAAGGCAATCAACATGTTATCGATATTTTGCTATTACCAGAGTCACCGACACGGATGTACGTGAAGCGGCATTTGTTGTCACAGATTGCTGTCAGTTTCATCGCAAAGTTACCCTTTCGATCACGCCAATGTTCTGGGTGATCTCTAGGACACTCAATAACAACATTTTTACCATCGAGTGCTCCTATTGCTTTGGGTAAACGACGGATAGCCCCTTCCTCTTGACCATGAGGCCATTCAAAACCCGTTTGAATTTCCTCAGCCCTTTGCTGATCCATGGGCCAGTTGATCAGATCTCCGTATACCCCTTCGATTGCAACCAAAAATCTTCGGAAAAAGTTGATATAACTACCATGCGATACACCAAAAGCCATGTTACTAGTTCTGTAACCAATATGACAGTTGGCTAAGCGCCATGTAGCACATGAAATCTGGATGTATGCGGGGATGCTGTTGTGGGCTAACAGATAAATGCTGGATGCTGACTGAGGACGTTGACAAGTCTTTCGAAGCTGCTAAGATTCATGCGATACATTGCTCGAAAACTAGTGCGTGGATTGTCATCGTCAGCGAGAAAGGGGTGCGTGATTGTCCAGTAGTGATAGTTGGAAAACGTTCCATTGTTGTTTGGACGAACTCGAGTTGAACGTGTGCCAGTTAATAGGAAGGGTAAGGGATGAAAAAAGGAAGGTACATCAAAAACTGAAGAAAAATAAAAAAGAAAAGTTTCGTGAAGCAAGTTGATCTCCAACTGACGTTGTTCCATATACCACTGAATTGCGGCTACATTCATGTTAATGAGCGTCATTGATTCTTCGTAAACAGTTGTAAACTCATTGAGTGATTCTTCGAAAGTAGACATTTTGGCAAAGATAATAATAAATTTACGGGAAAAAAATAATAAAAAGAAAAAAAGTTACAGGAGGATAGTAATCTGACAAAAATCTGCCCTGATGTCATACGCTATACCTAATTTGGGGGGGTTCCAAGATTTTACAAAAAGAGGGGTTCACAAATTTTTTTTGCTTGAGAACACCCTATATCATAAAGCAGGTCCGATAAACAAACGTCAGATACCTAACCTAATGATACCTGGGCCAAATTCACAAAAGGTTGAATTGCAACAATAATTGGCCTTCATATAATAGTTATAGAAACATATTTTGTAATTATCTACGAAATGTTATGAACGAGGAACCATAATTGACTAGATAACCCGACTATTGGGCAAAGAAACTTCCAAGTTGTAGAGTAAATGTTATTTATGCCACAAGTCTAAACTGCTAGTATTCGTAACGGTTTTAGCATAGATCAACTCTGTTAAAAACATGATAGAACTCCTAAGAGTCATTGATGAGAAAATAACTCTCCAATTGTTAGACCACAACTTCAAAGTAAGTTATAATACTTTATTAAATAAATGCTATAAATTGGGGATAACTGCAACAGTCGTCTTGATTACCAGGGCCACTGTGAGCAAATTATAGCAAACATTTAACAAAATAACAAACAAGTAGCGACGATGTTAGTAAAAGGACCCACAAATGGCCGGCCTTGTAATTTCATTTCATAGCAACAGGTGTCCAATAATTGATACGGTTTTAGCACAGTATAAAGACATTGTACATTACACACAATATAAGCAGATCATGAATGCGCTCATTATTGAAGAAGAAACAGTCTATGATACTTAAAAAAACTGAGAATACTGCCAATGAACAACTTTTACAGCAGTTTTGAATAACTACCACATTATGTATAGTTTACGTATTATCTTCTACACGACTCCTAAAAGTTTCAAAGGATAATCTCAAGATTTCGTTCCAAGCCGAAAGAAATTAGAAAATAAAAGACAGAAGACAAAAACAGAAATATATTTCTCAAAAGTCCAAAAAATTTTATAATGACATGGGAGTAATTTTAATGTATTTGGAATAGGCAAATTTAGATATGCTAATAGTTGAAAAAAGTCTAGCGGGACAAATAAGTGTACAAAAGGGAACAAATTATGAAATAATATGTCTAAAGTCAGTTTTATTCAATGACACCTTGATAAATGTGTCAGTCATTACTTTACACATGTGTCAGCTGATTATGAGGAGTGACTATTAACATAAAGACCAGAGCCGAAAGAATCCTTAAAAGATGATCAATCAAGTAAAAGTAACGAAATGTTTTTCAGATTTCGAGTATGGAAAGAGCCTTTTTGTTATCGTGACAAACTCTCCAAGTTATAATAGAGCCTCATTTATTTAGTTGCTTTAGTTTCTTATTACCTTTCCTTCTTTAATAGTCAATTATCTGATAATGCATTTTAGGGCCCTCGCAAGCACATCAAACTATTTTTTAAAGATCCGGATGAAGGACATTAATTTTTTTTTTTTTTTTTTTTTTTTTTTTTTTTTTTGTGAAAGGTTACAGTTTTTCCAAATAGAATCTTTTAAAATTTTAATAATATATATGGACGATTAATAACAGCATTGAATATTTTCAGTGCTAAAAAATCCGAATTGTCCAAACGAAGAATTAAAATCTGCAGGCCCCAAAAACCTTCTATCAGATTATTTAATGTCCAAATCGGATTACTGAAATCTCAAATGTTGTTTATTTTTCAATAAGAGCCTTTCATTTTTATCGATTTACTTTTTTTCTAACATCTCCATTTTATTTTACAGATACGAGTTTCCAAAATTATTCAAGTGCTGATTTCATCAATGGCCAACGCCCAAACCCTCCTGTGGTAAGAGGCCGACCCAGAGTAAACCCTCCGCCTGCTGCACAGATTCCCACTGACGTACCTGTTCCATCCTCTCTACTGGAATGAAGAGTCGTCATATTTTCTACGAGGCGTTGTCCCGTAGAATTAAGAATTTCCATTCTATCTTCTTCGAGAGATTCAGATTCTTCGTTGATTTGAACTATTAGGAGCTGCAACTGAGACACGATAAACGCAATTTGTTGTGGGGTTTTCATTCTTAAACTGTAATTTTTATCTTTTTAAAAAAATCGGTTAAACTGAAATTTTGTCTTTAAAAAATAAAGGAACAGATATTTTAGTAATCTGCAAAAACTTTGTTATTAATCATTCAAATTGGGTCATTTAAAAAGCAACGTCATGGATTTCAGAAAAAGATTTCTTTTGGAAGTCTGAAGTAACCTTTCACAAAAAAAAAAAAAAATTAATGTCCTTAATCGGGATCTTTAAAAAATAGTTTGATGTGCTTGCGAGGGCCCTTAATCAGTTATATTTCAACCAGGCATGATTATAGTATCAAGGAAGAACAAAGAGGCAATAATCTTTGTTTAACGGTATTCATCTACATTATATTGCTCAAGATAAGAATTCCTGAAGTAAATGAAAGTGACTTGATATAGAGACACCTTGTTATCATCTTCTAGCCTATAACAAGCATTTTTTGTTACCCCAATATAGTTTGGATGTACTTTAGACATTGTAGACTGCATAACATACGAGTAGGAGTACCGTTGTCGTTTATAGCTAATCCGACTGGCAACCATCGTTTATCAAAGCAAATTTTAATCCCTTTCGCTTGCAAAACTTTAGTTGTAAGCGTATACGCCCTGTTAATAACGAATTATCGAATAAAAAAAATAATTCCCTTATGTTGACCAAAATACCGAATCAAGTTTTATAAAAAAGTTGAAGGTCACTGACCGACTTTGACTAATGATGGGTAATTAAATATTCCGAAATATTTTTCTAACAAAATCATTACCAAAAAAATGTGGGAGAACCGCCTCAACCTCAGAAATGCGCTGGTGGGGAAGATCACGCTTAAAAGCAGTTGTGTGAAAAGTACAAAAAATGAAGCCGGCCGGGGTCGAACCCCTAAACCCCGCTTTTAAAGACCGACGCTCTCCCCCCTAAGCTATGAATCTGGCGGAGTCTCGTTTCAGCAGTGTAGTACAACACACGACTAATATTATTGATACACGTGACTTTCACGTGACATACCATGCTATTTTATGTTCACGCCTAAAATACGTTCCCAACCTAAACGGATGCGTTAAACACGTGTTTTTATGCCATATAAACGTGCTTTGATCTGTTATGCACTTGATTAACTGCGTGACGAGATGTATAGAGTAGACTGATTGACTAGGGGCTGTGATGAGTGAAAAATAAACTTGTAACGACCAATAATCGATAAGACTTGTAAGTTTTGACTAAAACGAACAGGTACAATTAGCCAGAGTTACTTTAGCATTATACGAAGACTTTGTCCATTACGCACGAGGTAAACAGAATATAAATGGACTCAATAACGAATAAAATACTTTATAAAATATCTTAAAAAGGGCGATATGGCGAATGGAAACTTTGAATGATGGTTTTGTACGACCGCAACTACATGCATAGTTAAAGTAACATTTTCTACAAGACTCCTTAAAGTTTCAAAGCAAAATATCAAGATATCTTTCCAAGCCGTAAGAAATTGGAAAAAAGGACACATTAGTCAAAAACAGAAAAATAATTTTCAAAAGTCGAAAAAAGTTTCTATGAACTCGTTGATAGTTTTATTAGGTTCAGAATTGTTATCCTTAAGTGTACCAACATCGAAAAAAAGTCTATCGAGGAAAACGATCCGTACAGAATTAAAGTATTATTCATAAATGCGTTTAATGTAAAGTTTTGGTACAGATTCCCTGAATTGTATATAGTAGCAACCTAAAGAGTGATCCGTAACAATAAAATGTCTACACCACAAGGAGATTACTTATACACCCCACATCTACTTTAAATTGACTTATAAAAAAATCACGAGTAGGAAGGTTAAAACCGTCAAAATATGAATAACAGCCAGACTCCTTTTGCGTCAATTCAATTCATTTGTTACCCATAGTAAAATGGACTGTGGTCAACCTTCATTAAATAGTTCGGATATAGATTGATAGTAAATAGAGAAAATCAAAAAATAGATTAAAAACCTATTGATTAACCGGTGAATACTGTAAATACATCAAGTGATGACTATCGCATGTTTATGCAAAGTACACAAAAAGTTTAATCAAACATCGAGGAATTTGAGGGAGAAATATAAAAAAAAACTCCTACCATAAGTATGACATGAGTCAAGGCTCAAAATAAGGAAGCGGAGGATGATTGCAATAATGTAACGGAACAATAGAGACTAGTTACACTGAAAACAAAATTGGCAGATACCGAATTGGAGCCATATTGAACTAAATACCTCCCAGAATAAGTAATAAAATGGACAAAGTTAATAAATGACACCTTTTTGGACACTTTTAAACGACCAAAACATTAGAAACAGTTACAGCAGTATTTTCTACATTTGTCATAAAAGTATGGAAAGGAAATACTATAACGGGGTATCTAGCCGAATACCATTAAGCAAAATAGAAAACTTGAGGTAATCCTGGAAAAATATTTCTCAGAAGTCGAAAAAATTTTATAAAGACATGCCATTAGTCTCAATGGATTGACAATAGTCCGCGCTTTGTATTTGAATGGTTAAAAAAAGTCCGTATCATAAAACAGGTCAGTTGAACACAAATCAGTGACATGACCTCAGAAATACTGGTGTCAAGTGGAAAAAACTTTGGAATTCTATAGTAACAGACCTTCCTATCAATCTTCTAGAGACATATATCGATGCCCAATACCTAATATTATGCGCAGAAAACAATGTTCGACCAGATAACCAGAGGTTGGGGCAAAAAATGCGAAGGTGACGTTTCATTTACACCATAGGTTTATATAAGTCGTATTTATATTAAGTATGCCATAGAATAGCTCATTTTAAAATTACATATGACACATTGGAATCATTGTCCATAAAGTAGTTATTAAACTGTTAGATTATAGTTAAAAAGACATAACAACATTTGATTGAACAGATATAATTGATAGTTGAATACTTCAAATATTTGTCATACGTACTAGAGAAACTTTAATCTAAACGTAGAAAAGTATCTGCAAATAATAAAAAGGTACCAAAGAAATTATAAAGTACACCAACAGTTTGCAAGACGTGGAATTACTTATGACAGCAACTAGAATATGCTAACTGTAATATTTTTGGCATCGTAAAAGAACAATGTAAATTACACACGAGATAAGCAGAACATAAATAGACACAGTAACGAAGAAAACACTTTATAAAATATCTTGAAAAGAACAATAATTCCAATTAAAAATTTCGAAGACACTTTTGAATAACCACAACAGCATGAATAGTTTGAATACGATGTCCACCATGACTCCTGCAAGTTTCACAAAGAAATATCTAAAACTCATTGCGAGCCGAAAGAAATTAAAAAAAAGGACAAATAAGACAAAATCAAAAAAATAATTTTCAAAAGTCAAAATTTTTTTTAAGGAAACGGTAATACCTTTTTTTAAACCTAGAATAGTTATTTCCAATTGTACAAACGATTAAAAAAAAGTCTAGCCAGAAAAATAATCCGTTCGTAAATGAACTAGAGGAGACAACTGAGTGATATGTGGCCATTTATTACGGAGTCAATCAAAATGAGATAGTAGCAACCTGTAAAGAGAGCAGTTACAGATCATATGCTGAAGAGGATGGAAATTAATTAAAAGCTAGACCATTACCTAATGTTTGCTAATGAAATTATAATCGAGTATGAGACTACATGTGTAAAGATTCAAGAGCATGAATAATAGCTGAAGTCATTTTAGAACATTACAGCGCAACGTTTAATCTAATACGAAGACCTTGTAATTTTTTTGGTAATTGGACGGATGAAAGTCAACAACAAATACAAAGTATAGCACCATATATCAACATACTTACTCTATAAACGGGGAGTAATACAAGCAGTCTAAGTAGTTTCTAGCGCATCTTTGTCGAAAATAAAGGAAGTTTGATCAAACAACGACAAATAGGTTATCAAAGTATTAAAAAATTACCAGCGGTCAATATGACATGATTCTTTACACGAAGACAACAAGAGAAGAACAATTTTATAACTTAAGCGAATAATAAAGACTACTCGCACTGCAAATAACATCTGTAGATGACAAATTAAGGCCGGATAGAATTAATTACTTTGTAAAATAACTCTTAAAGTTAAAATATCAGCAAATAATAACTCCTAAGTCATCTTGAAATGACCACAACAGGGCAGGTAGTATTAGACATATCTTCTAAGAAATTCCTCCAGGTCTGAAGACAAACGACAAACAACTGGTCGCAAGCCAAAAAAAATAGTGCAGGGAGGATAATTTAAAAAAAAATTTGTAAGAAGTCGAAAAAAATTTATAATGACTTGTGAGTTATTTTAATAAGATGGGAATACCCGAATTAAGGTATGGCTACAGTTAAAAAAAGTCTAGCTGACCAAAGAAGGGTAAAAAAGTGAAAAATAAATGAATTACTATGTCTAAAGACAGATTTAGGCAATAGCATCTTAATAAATAAGTCTGCCATTTATCTGGAGACGTGTAAGCTTATTATGGCGAGGATGTGGCAGAATAATTACCACAGCCCAAAAAAATAAGAAACAATAAAGACTTAAGATAAAAGGACAAAGAAAAAAATATCAAAAGGCGAAACAACTACATAACGTCTAAGAAACACTGATAATATCTTCCGAGTAGTACGTAGTATGTGCATAAAGAGAATAAAAGGTTAGTTATACAAAAGTTTTAAAAGAATGACAAAGTCGTATGATATTATAATGGCCAATAGTGTAAATGGTTCCCAACTAAAGTAAATATTGATACTGCATATTCTACATAACTATAAATAATATTAAAAGACAAATAAGATACTGAGGATGAGAAATGGCGCCAACAAGATAAATCTATATCCAGAAAATATTGAGGACAAGTAATAATAACACAACAGCGCATCTGACAGTAGTAACAACAAAAGACGTCTTAGTAGCCAACATGCTAAAGTAGTTTCTAAGACGACAAAGCAACCAAGACACGAAGTAACGTGGACAACAAAGACGCGAATGTAACAAATAATCAATAATACAAGACATCATGCATACTCAATAGCCAAGGCAACCAAGAAGCGAATACAACCCAATGCGGATGACAACAATATCCAAGCCAATAAAATTTTGATACCAAATAACCAAGCCAACAATATCCAAGACAACAAGATATTCCCGTTACCAAATAACCTAGACAATATGGTATCCTAGATACCAAATAACCAAGGCAATAAAGAAATATAGATGACATAATTTCGAAGACAACACAATTTCAGAACAACATGGTATCATGGAGACACCATTCCCAAGACAACGACTAAACGCAGACAGCAAAAAACAAGTGGGACAACAAAGAAACAAAGACAACGCAGTCTCCAAGACAACAAGAGGTCGAAGAAAACAAGGTAACTAAGACAACGATATGATCAACACACCATAATATGTAAGAATACAACGAAATTAGGACAACAGCGTCAGTAAGGCAACAGGGTAACTAAGACAACAGGATATGTTTAACAAGTAGAAATATACGACAGCTAGATATATTGGTCAGCGAGATGTCGAAGGCAACAAAGTCCAAGGCAACCGAGTATCTAAGAGGGTTCCTGAGAAATATGCCGGCCAATATAAATTACTTTTTCTGAAAGCCCTGGAAATTCTGAACAAGAATATGCTAAAGAGAAAAAAATCGCACCGCAGGGTCGCGAGTAATTGGCTGTCAAAGTTTAAAATATGCTTGCTACGTGCACCTAAAAAATCTTAAAGCCTAAGCCTGGGCCATTTTTAGCCCTATTAAAAAAATTAAAAAAATGTAGAAATAAAACAAAACAGGTACTCGGGTGTCGAACATACACTCTCGTCGATGCATGCTGCTCGCTTTCCCTGTTCGGCCACGGAGGGCTTAAAGATTCACTGTTCAAATACTTTATATTAAATATTTTATTATCTCTCGGCAGAAATTGACCAAAACGTATAAGAGGGTTCCTGAGAAATATGCCGGCCAATATAAATTACTTTTTCTGAAAGCCCTGGAAATTCTGAACAAGAATATGCTAAAGAGAAAAAAATCGCACCGCAGGGTCGCGAGTAATTGGCTGTCAAAGTTTAAAATATGCTTGCTACGTGCACCTAAAAAATCTTAAAGCCTAAGCCTGGGCCATTTTTAGCCCTATTAAAAAAATTAAAAAAATGTAGAAATAAAACAAAACAGGTACTCGGGTGTCGAACATACACTCTCGTCGATGCATGCTGCTCGCTTTCCCTGTTCGGCCACGGAGGGCTTAAAGATTCACTGTTCAAATACTTTATATTAAATATTTTATTATCTCTCGGCAGAAATTGACCAAAACGTATAAGAGGGTTCCTGAGAAATATGCCGACCAATATAAATTACTTTTTCTGAAAGCCCTGGAAATTCTGAACAAGAATATGCTAAAGAGAAAAAAATCGCACCGCAGGGTCTCGAGTAATTGGCTATCAAAGTTTAAAGTATGCTTGCTACGTGCACCTAAAAAAATCTTAAAGCCTAAGCCTGGGCCATTTTTAGCCCTATTAAAAAAATTAAAAAAATGTAGCAATAAAACAAACAGGTACTCGGGTGTCGAACATACACTCTCGTCCATGCATGCTGCTCGCTTTCCCTGTTTGGCCACGGAGGGCTTAAAGATTCACTGTTCAAATACCTTATTTTAAATATTTTATTATCTCTCGGCAGAAATTGACCAAAAGGTATAAGGGCTTTTTTGGGAATAATTTGATAATTCTTGATATTCTTTTAAGACGCTGATTTACCTGTAAAATGATAGGGGTTGATGCTCTATGATGTGGTTTTCTGTCATAGATAAGCTTATACGGTGGACCTCGGAGCTTAAAACATTTTTAATTTTAAACTGTCGGATGTTCAATTTTTTGGTGTACTTTGGGTGTTCCCGGGTGTTCTCAAGCAAATTATTTAAAGTTTTAAAACAAATCCTTTAATTAAAATCAAAAGTCACAAAAAACACAACTCTAATTTGGCAAAATGCTAAACTATCATTTGTACATGGCACAGAGGCCAACGTTATTTTATTTCTTTCTTGTATTCTTATCAAGATAAACATACTTTACCTTTGCCTCTACCTATTTTAAAAATGAACAACCAAAATAATGCTTCTTACCCTATTGATGGTCAGCCTGAGAGCAGCCAGAATGGAATCGTTGGACGTGGACGTGGACATGGAAGTGGAAGTGGAAGTGGACGTGGCCGTGGAAATGGAGTTGGGCGTGGAAGTGGAAGCCAAAATGAAGATGATTTCGAAGGCTCACAATGCTTCAGAGGATCTGGATGGGGACAAGCGGAGACCTAGTAGCTTATTGAAAGGTATGATGAGCACTTCCATGCTATGAATTCGGCTAGAAGCTTGGCGGAAAAAACGAAATTTTTGACCTTATTGCGAGGGAATTTCATGCAGCAAATATTGAACGTGCTCCTCGGACCGACGAACAGTTGAAAAGCAAGTGGTCGAATCTTTTGCAGGATTTCAAAAGAAATTACGCCACCCGTAATTCTACTGGACAAGCAACAACCGCTCGTTCTATCATTTATGACAAGTTATATAGCATTCTGAAAGACTTATCTTCATTTTTTCCACCTGTCACTTATTCCTCAATTTCAGGGGAGTTCAGAACAAGAATTGAAGATACTCCTGAGGATGATGACAATTTGGAGCCTGAGGTTGTTGGTGGTCCTAACCAGAATACTGCCCATACGAACACTGCAGACGATGTGTTACGTACTGTGGATACCCAACCTGCAACAGCGGGTAATGTACGTTCCGAGGGGATCTTTGCTGTCGGTGAACAAGATCAACCTCCGACTAAAAGACGCAGATTAGAGACACCCCGTGTGTCAACAGCCACATCCCCACCAGCAACAACAACAGCACCATCAGCATTATCAGCACCACCAACAGCACCAACAGCACCAACAGCACCAACAGCACCAACAGCACCAACAGCACCACCAGCACCAACAGCACCACCAGCACCACTAGCACGCGCATCGGAGCGCTTTCAACCTATCTAGATAAGAGTAGCTTCGATGTTGCCTACCATCGGCGTCTGAACAACGCATCGAGAACAGCATGTTGCGTGTCTTGGACCGGGTGCAACAAACACAAGCTTTGGAAAGGGACAACCACTTTCAGTCCTTTGTTCAGTATAGTCGGAGGCCAATGCTGCATTACTTGCACGTAGTGATCGAGTGGCAGAACTGTTTGCTCAAAGTAACAGGGAAACGGCAAGACTTGTTGATGCGATCTTTCACTATATGGCCATTCGAAACCAGCAGGGTCAAAATAATAATAATAATACTGATCAATAAAAATATATAATTTTGTTACAAACATTACTGGTTTATTGCTCAGAAGGCATACAGGGGTTGATGTTGTCCCTTCTAGTTTGACCATTCCGATAGGCGGTGCTGTTGACTGACTGACAAGAACTATCCAGCCTAGCAGCAGGTTCATCGCTCGTCACATCGTTCGGCTTATCTTCTACTAATTCCAGAACAGGGTCAATCACCTCAATACACAGATTGTGTAAAATACAACTAGCTGCTATAATACCCACACTATCACCGGTATCCTTGATGTATGTATACGTTTGCTGAGGAATCTCCAGCGAGAAATAAGTATACCAAAAGCTCTTTCAATGGCCATTCGAGTTGACGAATGGATCTTGTTGATCTTTTTTTTGCCAAAGCATCATCGGATCTTCCAAGGACTTCCGAAACAGGATAAGGCACAATTATATGGTGCGATAGTGGGTATGCCGAGTCTAAAACATATTTAGTTTTTTTCGAAGATTTTATTCACGCTTATATATTTTACCTGCAAGGATATACCCATTCAAAGGAAAGTATTCTTGGGGGTTTTCCAAGGTAACTGTTGCTATCTCGTTGAGGTTGAAAGCAGCAGCATCGTGTGAACGACCTATGTCAAAACGATCAGCATAATTGCATACAATCGGACAAATAAATTATTACCTGAATCACCAACCGAAATGTAAGTAAACTTACTCTTATCATCACATACTACCGTAAGTTTCATGGCAAAGTCTCCCTTACGATCCCGCCAATCGTCGGCATGTTCCTTTCTTGATTCAATTACAAAGTTCTTGCCATCCAAAGCTCCAACAGCTGGTAGACCCCGAACAGTGCGGCCTATACCATACTCAAAACCATGTTTGATTGCAGCGACACGCTGCTCGTCCTTGGGTCATTCGATAAGATGCTTGAATTTGTTAACAACGGCTTTTACAAAACGTTGCGTAAAGTTTCTGTAACTACCAGTGAGAGACTCCTATAGTCAAGTGGGCGCAGCGATAGCCAACGCGACAGTTAGCTAACCGACGAATTGCACATGAAATCTGGACGTATGGAGGGATACAATTTACAGCTCTAGACTGAAAAGCAAGATCTCTGCATAGTTCGTTTACAAACCTTTCAAACGTAGTGCGGTTTATACGGTACATGGCGCGATAGCTGGTTCGTGGATTGTCGTCATCAGTCAAAAAAGGGTGAGAGATGTGGAAGTAATGGTAGTTGGCGAATGAATGGCGATTGTTGACCGTGATGAGGATAACATAATAACACACCTAGAGTAGAACTATCGGAGATGATCCAATAAGGACATGATTCCATATAATCACACTGGTGGGAATTAGTTGTTCCACAATTTACCTCTATCAATAAAACAATGCTGTGTAACGTGTATCGAGCGAAGAGTCTCATAGGACCTGAGCCATACGTATATGGAAATGAGTGCTATTGTTTGTATAATTGTTTATTTACTTCTTTATATTTATTTATTTCTCGACCTCGGTAAACTAAGTTTGGTAAATCATAAACCTGTTTACGTGGCTTTGGTCTTTCCTTCTTCCTTCTGCCTTCTTTTCCCATATTTAGTAGAACCGTCAATTAAGTGATGACTGTCAAGGTTTTGCTTGTTATGGAATCACCGGTGCTGGTCACTGTCAATACCCTCCTCTTGATACCTTTCAAATTATATATAAATACCCCTTGATAGTTCTGTAGAATTATCGGTATCTTCGTTGGAGCTGCTCACATCGAACAAAATATATTGAGATCTTAAATAGGAGATGTACTAATATAGACAAGCGCCGTTTTTTTTAAATTTTTTTTTTTTTTGAAGGTCAATCTTTTTCCAAAACCGGTTTTTTAAAAAAATATAAAAAATAAAAATAAATATTATCCTGGAACTAGTGAAATTCGATTTTACTAAAATATCTGCAAGATTTTTTTTTTCTTTTGTTCCTGTTTTACCTTTTCTTTTTTCGTTTTCTCTGTTTCGATTTAATTTCTCAATGAATTCTCGAACTTGCCAACAAATTTTTCTCCTCTTCGAAATGTTAAGACAACAACAAACTGTTCTTTATGCACTTAGTGAAAGCATTGCAGCCGATAACCAAGAAATTGTAGACTTTTTGTACCTTAATGTCAGTAATGTGCATTTGCTTAGAGAACAGCAATTGCAGTACGACTTTTTTGCTGCCGATTTCTCGAGTGAATTTGGAATGGCTATTACTTTCTTGCCTTTGTTCATGACCGGGGCAATTATCAGCAGAACGCGAACTGTCGGTGTGGGTGCCACAAGAGTGTCTGAAAGATACACTTTTTGGGAGGTACAACATCCCAACCTCAACGACGTCGACGAAAACCAAGTAGATAGCTTCCGTGCCACATATCGAATGGGAAGGGACTCTTTCAATTGGCTTGTCAACAGGTTGTCTACCCATCCCGAATTTGATTTCAAGACACCAAACCACGTTCCTATCTACATCCAGATAGCTACCTGTCTTTTGAGACTGGCCAATTGTCATCTTGGATATAGAAACATGTATGTCCTGTATGGTGTTTCGTATGGCAGCTATACCAATTTCACGAGGCGTACGGTGAAGGCCATCAAGGATGTGCTTGGCTATATGATCGATTGGCCTACGAATTCAGCCTTGGTAGGTGCTATATCTGCTGGATTTAACAAAGGTCCTGGTGTGAGTATTCCTGATGCAATTGGTGATATTGATGGAAAAAACTTTACCATTCATAAGCCAACTCCAGCTGCTTATGGAGCAGGGTTCAGTGACAGAAAAAACAACTACACCATTAAACTTACCGCTGTTTGTGACGATACATGTAGGTTTACTTACATTCGTGTAGGAGACTCTGGTAATAATGACCAATATAAATATGAGAGTTGGAAGCTAATTTATTTTTAATACACTAGGCAGAAGTCATGACGCCTCAGCCTATAATTCCAGTGATCTCAGCTGGAAGATTATGAACAATCCTGGGCATTACTTCGCTAATGGATCTTATCTTCTCGGTTATTCGGCCTATCCGTCCAGTGCCAATTTGATTACACCATTCCCTGAAAGTGAATGTCTCCGGGATCCTCGCAAGAGATTATTCAACTATTCGCATTCAGCCAGAAGAATTGCCATTGAAAGAACTTTTGGTCAGTTCGTTCATCGGTGGAGATTTACACAATTCCATATTTACGTGTATGATTAATTGGATATCAATGATATCATCGGGTCGTGCGCTATTCTACACAATACATGTAAGGCAAGAGGGGAGCTAGGTTTCGATGGTGTGGTTCTTGAGCCTGCTGGTCTTGTAGTTGGAGAGCAGGGTGATACAAGTGTTATAGGTAATAGTGCCCGCATGCGCATCTTTAATGCAGCTTTTCCTTAAATATGTTAGGTATTAAATTATTTTTTATAAAAAAACCAAATTTATTATTGAAAAAAAAAGCCAATTATATTTTAGTCGATGTTATGAGGTTTATATTCATCGGACGAAGGATACGTGATTTCAAGCAAGTCTGACGGACCAGGAGAAACCGTCGTGACATTGCCATCAATCGTCATGTCATTGGCAGAGGGGGTTGAGGCAGTATTGTTGGGGAGGGTGCTGTTGACGACAATGTTGCTGGTGTTGGTGTTGTTGGCGTCGGTGTTGTTGGCGTCCGTGATGTTGTAGGCGCTGGTGCTGCTGGCAGAAGTACTGTTGAACTGATAGTCATTGGCGTCAGAAATACCATTGACATCTGGGCGGAAGTAGGGGCTGGTGTTGTTGTTGTAATTGTAGTCATCGTTTTCAAACCGATTGTAGCTGGTGGCGTTCTTGTTTCTTGAGCCGTAATCCCCTTTCATTACCATCAGCATCTGGCGCTGGATATTCAGACTGGTCTGCATCTCACGGGGTTTCCATCGCATGATGGTAAAACCAGTTTTCAATCGGTACCGTACCAGTTGGATTCAACCTATCATTGCGATGTCTGAAGGCAGCACAGAGAGCAGACCATTTAGACTTCAATGGAATCAAAGGTCTGCTTCCGTTGGTGGTGTTTTTGGTCTTGAATGAGTGCAAGATGCACGGTACAACTCATTTAGTTCAGCTAGCGTACGATTGGACTCCAAGCGCTTGTTGTAATCAGCATACGATTCAATAAGAGCAAAGGTGCTAGCTAAATTCCATTTTGAGTGCGTGTATCTGGTATCCGAAACTTAATAGTGGCAGCAGCCTCCGTAACATCAGCAGTGGCAGTAGCAGGTGCAGACGGGGAAACGGCGGCAGCAGCAGGAACGACGACAGGAACCTCCTGTTTTTCTGAAACAGTAGTATCATGCGACGGTTGCTACCATAGGCTACACCATTCGGTGTCACTTCAATAAATTGGTGATTGATAGGGTTTTTGTTGTTGTTTTGATTGTTCATTTTAAAAAATTTAAGGAAAGGAAACAGTAATAAAATTTTATTTTGTATTTTGGCATTTTAGTAGTCCATTTTAGGACCGTATATTTCTGGAGGCTTCACATTCGATGCCCACAAATTTTTCATTTTTAAGCAGTAGATTAATAATAGATTAATAATAAAAAAATATGACAACATTATTTTTGACAGAATTCAATTTAGGAAAATAATATTGGTAAAAAAACCTTTTTAAAAAAAAAAGCGGAGCTTGTCCATATTAGTACATCTCCTATTTAAGATCTCAATATATTTTGTTTCATGTCAGCAGCCTAAATCATAGAAATCTGAGAATTCTGGTCCGTTATCCGTCAAGATCTAATAGGTTTGGGTACTCTGGTCCGTTATCCCTCAACATCCGTTGATTTCAGGGTACTCCGGTCCGTTATCCCTGAAAATCCGTTGACTTTAGGGTACTCCGGTCCGTTATCCCTGAAAATCCGTTGACTTCAGGGCACTCCGGTCCGCTTTCCGTTGTTATGCGATACTTCAGGGAATTCTGGTCCATTATCAATACAGATCCGCCACTTACGGGTTCACTGATTACATTTAACTAACAACCAAAATAGATTATAAGCAGTTGGAAACGGTTCAAAAATGGTTCAAGCATTCTAAGCTAGTATGGGAATTATCTTAGTTCATTTCAGATATAAGATAAGTCGCAAATCATATCGGAACATCCTTAAACGTTCGTTGGATTTCAAAAACGTATATACAGTGACCTCTAAACTATCCTAACTGTTTGAGGTTATTGTATTTTGTAACGACATCACATACTCATATCATAGGGACACTTTGTGAACATTTTCTTTTTTCTGTCTTTTGTAATTATTAAGTTATTGATCTGATTTAAAGCGCTTCATAAAATTTGTATAAGCAATTATCACTCTTATAAGAAGTTAAACCCTTCTTTTTTATAACCTTTACTGGAACATTTTTTATCCCAAACATGTCACACATTTTTGAGTCTACCACATTTTTGTTTAGTCCAATGCTGCTCTACTGGTATCATTGCTTTGGAGACTGGTTTTAGTATTGGTGTATTTAACAGAGCTATAAACAGAATTAATCAAGACAATTCGTTGAAATTAGTGGGCCAGTAAGGAGTGGAGCGGGGCAAGAACAGAACAGAATAAATATTAAGGTGACGACCAAAGAAACAGACATTATATGTATTAGTATTAACTTATATAAAATGTATCATAGTAGAAAACGTTTAATTCAAAGAAAAAGAAAAAATAGACAAGATCTTCAATACAAAAATAGGATTAAATAGACATGACTACAGAACCAGAGGAATGTAGCCCTGACTAGAAAATTCGTAACAATGTGTAACATTGTTAAAAAATGTAGATACAAAAAGCGGATTTTCAATATTATGTCGTAAATTGGCGAGGGGAAAACTTTAGACGCGAACTTTTTGTTCTATACTCAGATCCCAACGAAATATATACCATGTTACAAATACTAAAACGGCCTTACCCATACCGCAATTTTGCATAGTATAACGTAAATGAACACGTAGAACAACATTAAACTGAGAGGTTTTGTTCTAAAATAAAATGCCTACGACACATTGATCATTTTGCGATGAAATATTTGTTACATTGATAGACAACAAATGCAAAGTAATTGGCCTTCTATTACATGAAATGTTTATTTACTAAGGTTTACCATACATAATTGAAGCAGTGTATACCAACTATTTATGGAAATATTCGAAAGGGCAATCACGAACTGACAAAGTAGTGGTAACAACATAAACACCCAATAAGCCGTCAGCCGTACCTTTCTTGACAGGGAAAGAATTGAAATATATTTGGAATAGATTCAGCAAAGCGAAGATGAAAAGATGCGGTACTCAATATAATTCCTCACTAAAAACCAAGAAAATAACTATATCAACAAATACATTTTTTTTGACATACTTTTAAACAACCTTCATTGTACGGATACCTGAAACACCGTTACCTACACCGCTATGCAAAGTATCAAAACAAAATATCTTGATTTCGTCTCAAGCCGAAAGGAATTAAGAAAAAGCATATACAAGACAAAGACAAAAAAATATTTCTTAAAAGTCGGGAACAATTTATTAAAATGTGGAAATAATTTTAATAGATTGGGAATTGTCTTATCAAAGTATTTAAGTCGTTAAAAAATGTATATCCTATAAAGCAGATCTGATAC